TGAGAAAAGATTAAGAAAAGTAGATGGAGAAGAGAAGCGGTCCGAGAGCTGAGCCCTGTGGCACTCCAGCACAGATAACGCTGCTCAGTTTTAGACAAGTGCTGGATTCACCGTGTTAAAGCATGAATGAGGACTGCTGTTATGATCATGCTAGTTTATATTGAGGGGAACTGTGGACTGAATGAGGTGAAGTCAGCTGAAGGAGGGGCAGGAGGAGGGCTGAAGGAGTCTTAAACACAGTCTGGAGAATTGCTCAATTTGTAGGTGCAGAATATGATTTTAGCAGAGGAGAAATCAGCAGAGATGAAGACTGATGCACACATCCAGGTCAGTCAGAGAAGAAAACCTGTCATTTTCATTCAACTTTAGCTTTTCCTAATACTTTAAATTAAATTCTATGACTTCAGTTGCTGACAATTAATTTCATGAACTCACAATAAATCTGCTAATGGAAAGCTTTAATTAAATGAAATGAGTTTGTTGTCTAAATTTAGTAATCGTAACTGTAGCGTATTTAGTTTGTGTTAATGATAGACACTTTCAATTCTGATTATAGTTGTGGATCATGCTTTATATGCAGCCTTAAAGCTTTTCTCTTAAAGATTTAAACATCTATATATATATATATATATATATATATATATATATATATATATATATATATATATATATATATATAGAAGCTTTATTACAGTCTTATTAAAATTTGAGAAGCTTGCACTCGTGTCATTTAATTGCACTGTTGGATTGTAGTATTTTTGTTCCTGAAATGCCACTTTTGGTTGTGTTTTTTACATGCATAGTTGTGTTTTTCACATGGCCTGACTGAAAAATGCAACACATGACACTAAAATAATGATATTATTAATGAAATACAGTTATTAAGTGTAGTATGGTGTATATTCAAGGGGTGGAACTGAGGGAAACTGTATGCATGCACTCTTATGATTTCTGATCTAATCAGCCAAGGCACTGAATTACGGCTCATCTGAGTGTAGATCAATGAAAGAAAAACACTAGAGATGGAAAATATTGTCTCCTTTCAATGTTTAATGCAGCGGAATGCAGTTTGATAGTTGTGTATAAAAATATTCAATAAATACATGTGAAATGATGACATATATTATTCTGTAATATTTACAAAGCTTGTATGCAGTGCAATTTATTGACTAGCAAAACACACACACTCACACACACAAACACTGCAGAGCTGGGAAATAACGGATTGTATGTAACCTTGATTGCATAATCAAATATTAAAAATCCATTACTTGTAATGAAACTACTCTGGATGCTACAGCTCTGGATTACACGATTGTGTATTTAAACAATGTGATTTTTTTCGCTTTTTTAACATTCATATATATATTAAAGCAGCAGCAGCAGCGTATATGATCCCTTTGTGATTTTCCATGTCTGTACTGCACTTGTTTGAGGTTTAGGTTTAATCAGTGTTCCTGTAAGCGAACACTAACAGCGAGGTATACAAGTGTGAGTATTGTGAACTGTCCATGCACTTTAAACAGAAGCGGTTGAGGCTCTCGTTGCTCTTAGAGAATGAGGATATCTTTTATTTCTATCAGTCAAACAGCATAAGATTATCCTGCTTCAGTATATGTGACGTCAGATAAGAGTGTAACCTAAATGTAATCCAAAAAAGTAAGATTACATTACCATAAATGTGTAATCTAAGAGTTTATATTAGTGACTACACATTCAGTGGTGTAATTTGTAATCGGTTACTGATTACAGTTCAAAAGTAGTCTAAATGTAATTTAAAAGTAATCAGATTACATTACCATAACTGTAATCCTAAAGATTATATCACTGAATACAAATATCTTCATCTCGACCATTCAAAAGTAATCTAAATGTAATCCAAAATGATGGTCATGCAATAGGATTACTTTTGAACTGAAATCAGTAACTGAATACAAATGTACAAAAAAAACTTTGTAGTCTTCAGTATAATCTTCAGGATTACACATTTATGGTAATGTAATCTGATAATCCATGTCATTTGTAATCAGTTACTGACTACAGTTCAAATGTAATCTAAACGTAATCCAAAAGTAATCATATACTATAACTGTATAATCCTAAAGATTATATCACTGACCACAAATCTCGTCATGTAATATGTAATCAGAAATTCAAAAGTAATCTAAATGTAATCCAAATGTATGGTTATATAATTGGTTCAGTTTGGATTACTTTTAGATTACATCTGAACTGTACCCAGTAACTGAATACACATGCACATAAACTTAGTAGTCTTCAATATAATGTGTAGGATTACACAGTTATGGTAATGTAATCTGATCATCCTTGTCATTTGTAATCAGTAACTGATTCTAAAGTAATCTAAAAGTAATCCAAAGGACATTGTGTAATCTAACAGATTATATTTCTGACTACAAAATGTGCGATGTCCTTTTATTCAGTAACTATGAATGTAATCTACCCAGCTCTGCTCATTGATATTAATGATGGCAGTCAGAGCGCTGCAGGATTGGGATGCAGTATGCCAGATCTATTCCGCTCAATGTTATTACAGCTCTGCTGGACTCTGCGGATGTTCTGCGTCATTCTTTGGGCCAGATGAGACAGATACGAGTTCTCCAGCATCATGGAACGGTCGATCAGCCCCTCAGAAGGATCCGCTCTGCGCATGGCCGTCCTCTTGTGGAGCTGTTTCAGAGGTTTCTTCAGACGCCGGATCACCATCTGCTCCAGGCGGTGAATATCAATCTTCTGCTGAACTTGCAGAGCCGACAGAGCCGGGTCGAATACAGCAGTCCACACTGTGCCTGAAAAAACACAACACTCATATAACGCTTGCTCCATCTGCTTAAAGGGTCAGTTCACTCAAAAACATTAGTCTCTCTCGCTCAAACAGCTCCATATGGTGTCTTTACCCTCAACACTACAGAGGATATCACCAAGACACTGCAAACACTGACAGCGGGAGACACCAACACTGAGGGAGTCAGGCTGAGCTGCCGGCAGGTTGTGCAGGTGCTGCTATAGTGTGTGTGTGTGTGTGTGTGTGTGTGTGTGTGTGTGTGTACCGTTGTTGCTGAGCTGCTGGCAGGTTGTGCAGATGCTGTTGTAGTGTGTGTTTCCGGACAGCAGCAGATGCTCTTCCCCCTGGCAGACTCGGTGTTTCACACACTGCGCATGCGCTTTAGTGGCGTCTGAGAAATGACCCTCTGCGCAGGCCTCACACACTGTGTCACTGTACGGCGTTCCTGCACACACACATTTATACATTCAGCTTTCATCCAGCTTAAACATTACAATAACACAAGCAAACATCATGTACTGTTAAAACACACACACACACACACACACAAAATAAATACAGACACACACACACACACACGGCACTCAATTACGGCTTAATTCTTAGTGCGAGGATGATGTCGATCGCTACTTTCCATCATCCACCACACCTATCTAGTGAAATCTATCTAGTGAACTACTGGAAAATCTGAACATGATTATGGTTGCCCAATCGAACCAAACTGTTATGAACCGTACCGCTTGCTGGAAATATCCCAGCACTTCTACTATATTATATTTTAAGTCCCAAACAATCAATCCCACAATGCACTGCAACAATGAGTCTACAACTCACACCGGCAGCAGTGAATGCATTTCCACGTCTGACCACTAGATGGCGACTAAATCACACTTCTAGCAGTGTGTGGTTGCAAATAACATTGGCCAACTGAAGTAACGTTTGCGTAAACGACAGACATCAGCGTTCATATATGTTTTTAAACACAACTAATGTTGTCTTAAATGGGCAAACAAAGTTAGGAAAGCAGTTAAATGCTTTCATTATAGCTGTGTGCATTTTTAAAGTGACACTTCTGTTATTTAATGTGATCAAATAAAATATGTAAATAAGAGCTTCATTCACTGCTCTTTAATCTGAATGTTTCAATTATACAGTGCAGAAGAGGTGTATGAGATTTAATAACTCGATTCTATTTCTCTATAATAGCTTTATATTCAATAGGCTAAACTGTTTGCTAATTTGTTTACAGCTTTTTGTAATGTATACTATTTTGTAAAAAATATTAGTAATAACAAAACGTACAACTGACAGTATTACTGTTTATTTACAATGAAACAGCCCTAGATGAACAAATTTATTAATTTGAAGTTTTTTTGTGTGGGATGTGTGTGTTTGTGTGTGTGTGTGTGGGGGGGGGGGGGTGTTCCTTTTTTTTTACATCATTATGTTGACAGGTATGGTTTAGATTAGAACCACTTCAGTGGTTTTCATTTTGTGTGAACTGCCCCTTTAAGAGTGGAGTTTCTCTCACCCGCAGGCATCCGCTCTCCTGTTTACATTCCCTTGCGCTGACAAGTGTGTGTGCTCAATAATTAAGCCTCCCTCACACACACATTCAGGATATACAGTTTGTACAGTAGACTATAAACACCTTTCCATTACAGCTATGAGAGTCCCCACCGGGATATATATGTGTGTGTGTGTGTGTGTGTGTGTGTGTGTGTGTGTTACCAGCGGTTTTGACGCCGTGTCCCGGTCTGCAGACGCTGTGTCTCCTGCAGAAGTGCTGCTCCCAGTAGAAGCCCTCCTCACACTCACACACCGTGTTCGCGATGCCGTTGCACGGCTGCACCACGCGCTGGTGCTCGGCGCAGGAGTCGCACAGTAGGCAGTCCGGGATGTAGTTCCAGAACTCGGTGTACATCCCGGGTCCGCAGGGGGAGCACTCGGTCTGGCGGGAGCTGGAGCAGTGCTGGCGGAGGCGCGACCCTGGGGCGCACCGGGCACACTCCAGCGTCCTGCCTGTCTCCGGGTCCTTGCGACGGTAAGTTCGTGCGTCTCCCGCCGTCAAAGCCCATATTGCCAACACTGTGGAGAACAACTAGAGGAGACAAAGAGGATGAGGAGGAGAGAAACAGGAGAGCAGAACAGCGCTGAATGAATGGAAGACTGAATGAATGAATATGAGCGTCACTCACCATTGCGCGCCTTTTCATGGACGAGCTCCGAGCGCGTGCTTTATACACACATACGCACGTGCGCGGCCCCGCCCGAGACAACAATAGTAGTAATTCATGGAACTGACGAGCTGTTTCCATCATCCACATATTTATAGGCGTTTTATGATCGTATCAGCAATACTTGATGGCCATTCATTAGGAAAATACACATGTGTTCCGCTTAGTAAACTTTTTATCTGACAAGAGTAAATGCTGAAAAACTGTGCTGTGATGCGCTTCAGTGCTGTAGTTTCTGCTGATCAGATGATTTGACAGATATTAATGTGTGTGTGTGTGTGTGAGGGTCTTTACATCATTAATGATGGTCTGCATTTAAGCATTAATTGGCATGTTCAGATGGAAACAGCTCGTCACCTGTTAGACTGAACACTTCTGCTTCAGAGCCCATCCTAAAGCAGTGATGACAGAAACACTGACAGAGCTTTGTATATCATCAGAGCATGTGTTCAGGCACTCTGGTCATTTCCATCATTTACTCTACACACACTTCAGTTGTATAAGAGATGGCTCCACATTCAGTTCCACATATGAACACCAGTGTATTACTGTATATTACAGTACCTGCAGCTCAGTGTTAGTGAATGCTCCAGCATACTGTAATATTAACTCTCTTATAAACTGTATTGGATACTGTAGTGTACTTTAGTTTTACTACAGTAAACTGTGGTGTATGGTAGTATAATATACCCTATAGTTGGGTCAGTTATGATTGTGTTACTGTAGCAGGACATTCCTGACGCCGCTTCTGCTTCCAGTATATGATTCAGAGAAAACCTCAAAACTACTTTTCAGAAAAGCCAAAAGTTAAGACCAAAACAGTCAAACGTTTTCCCGAACACTGACAACAGCGACAGGGAAGAAGCAGAAGAAGAAACCTGGATTACCACAGGAAAAAACACTGCGGTGAGTTACAGTAAATACAGCAGAGTTTTTAACCATACTAAAGTGAAGTACTCGAATCAATCTGTTGTGGTGATTCTACAGTTGCCACGGTAACACAATCACATTAATTGGTCTGTTGTGGTGATTCTACAGTTGCCACGGTAACACAATCACATTAATTGGTCTGTTGTGGTGATTCTACAGTTGCCACGGTAACACAATCACATTAATTGGTCTGTTGTGGTGATTTTACAGTTGCCACGGTAACACAATCACATTAATTGGTTGCCACGGTAACACAATCACATTAATTGGTCTGTTGTGGTGATTTTACAGTTGCCACGGTAACACAATCACATTAATTGGCCTGTTGTGGTGATTTTACAGTTGCCACGGTAACACAATCGCATTAATTGGTTGCCACGGTAACACAATCACATTAATTGGTCTGTTGTGGTGATTCTACAGTTGCCACGGTAACACAATCACATTAATTGGTCTGCTGTGATGATTCTACAGTTGCCATGGTAACACAATCACATTAATTGGTCTGTTGTGGTGATTCTACAGTTGCCACGGTAACACAATCACATTAATTGGTCTGTTGTGGTGATTCTACAGTTGCCATGGTAACACAATCACATTAATTGGTCTGTTGTGGTGATTCTACAGTTGCCACGGTAACACAATCACATTAATTGGTCTGCTGTGATGATTCTACAGTTGCCATGGTAACACAATCACATTAATTGGTCTGTTGTGGTGATTCTACAGTTGCCACGGTAACACAATCACATTAATTGGTCTGTTGTGGTGATTTTACAGTTGCCACGGTAACACAATCACATTAATTGGTTGCCACGGTAACACAATCACATTAATTGGTCTGCTGTGATGATTCTACAGTTGCCACGGTAACAAAATATTTTGAGTATGCAAAATACTGTGTATTTAGGTGTAAATAGCTTTTGTTCAGTACAACAAAAACCAAAGTGATGCATATGTGCATAAAATATAGATTCTACACTTTCAAACGACACCACTGAAGGGGGTCTGGTGCAATGCGAGCACTTTAAATTTTAAAGCGCGGAGTTTAACTGGCTTTAACACTACAGTTTGATGCAGCATTCATAAACAGAGGTAAACTCTACACTCTGATATATACAGGTCAATACACTGCTAATAGTGACTATTATTCATATTTAAATATGATTATCTGAGTGACTGAATCTCTCTTTCTGTTGCCAACACAGGCGTGTAAACAACATAAATGCAGACGTGTATGAGCTTGTATGATGAGATTTTTATTCCTTTGAGCAGCTTGACAGATTAAACCAAACTGGTTTGTGGGGGGTTATTATTTTGTTACTGTATTGAGTTTCCCAGAGATCAACAGGCTGTACTGGAAAATCATCACGCTCAACAGAAACACTGTTTCACCCTGGATTATTACAGTTCTGAATATAAAGATCAATACAGCGATTATTATTATTATTACTATTATTATTAATATTATCACTATTATTGTAATTATTATTATTACTATTATTATTATCACTATTATTGTTATTATTATTGTAATAATTATTATTATAAGTACTATTATTGCTATTATTATTACTATTATTATTATCATCACTATTATTGTTATTATTATTGTAATTGTTATTATTATAATTATTATTATCACTATTATTGTTATTATTATTTTTATTATTATTATTATTATCATCATCACTATTATTGTTAATATTATTGTAATTATTATTATTATTATTACTATTATTGTTATTATTATTATTTCTATTATTATTATCACTATTATTGTTATTATTATTGTAATTGTAATTATTATTATTATTATTATTATTAATAATAATAATATTGTGTGTTAGTGAGTGTGTGGACTGCAGCACTGGCGCCTCCTGCAGGCCAGATGGTTGCCACAAGCTTGAAAATGTAAAGAAATATTGTGAATAATTATAATTACAATTTATTGTAAAATTTATAGTAACTTACTGCCAATTTTGTTTCCCAGTAAGGCTGTTACAGTTGAAGACAAAATGATCATTCTCCAGTGAAAATTTTATTCTTTTTCAAATATTTGCCAAGTGCTGTTTAATTATAAACATAACACCTTTAATAACTGATGTCTTTTCTGTTTGTCATGATGACAGTAAATAATATTAGACTAGATATTCTTCAAGACACTAGTGTTCAGCTTAAAGTGAAATGTACAGGCTTCACTAGGGTAATTAATCAAGCAAAACAATTGTAAAGTAATTGCTTGATTAAATTCACCCATGAATTCTTAAGTGTGCATTAATATTGACCTTAGCAGTTAACCACTGTTATACAATGACTGGCCTAATTACATGTCACTTTAAGCTGAACACTAAAGAATATCTAGTCTAATATTATGTGCTGTCATCATGGCAAAGAGAAAACACATTATGTTCTCTCCATTAAACAGAAATTAGTAGAAAAATATAAAATAATTCAAGTGTAAAAGGACGAGTAATACATTTAATTAATATTCCAGTAAATTATACACTGTTTGACATATTTTCCTTCTGTGCACCGCATGACAAGAAACTGAGTCTTCATCAGATGATCAGCGTTCTTTCTGGATTAGTTGAGCTCATCATGACACAGCTTATCTCATTATAATGATCACTCAATTTAAACCGTGTGATAGAAAATGACGAGTTCATTAATAACAGAGATGAGCATGCTCTAGTGAGTCACCTCCACATTCCAGCATATTTATTACTCATATCATAATAACTCAGGCATTCCCAGCACGTCCGGAACCTCCGAGTGACGCAGATTAAGCAAATCACAGCACACACACACACACACACACACACCCACACACACACACACACACACACACACACACACACACACACACACACACACACACACACACACACACACACACACACACACACTGAGCGGCTACATGACTTCTGACTCTTCTTACTCAAACTGACAGCTCTGAAACACACTATAGTAAAGGGAAGTACTGTATATACTATAGTATTTACAACTCTTGTTAATGAAGGCTGCAGCGTACTGAACTGATCAACTCTATTAAATACTGTAGTATACTTCAGTTTTTACTACAGTAAACTGTGGTTTAGTGTGTCAAAGTGGCGCAGTGGGTAGCACAATCACCTCACAGCAAGAAAGTCTCTGGGTCAGTTGGTGTTTCTGTGTGGAGTTTGCATGTTCTCCCCGTGTTGGTGTGGGTTTCCTCCGGGTGCTCCGGTTTCCCCCACAGTCCAAACACATGCGCTATAGGGGAACTGATCAACTACACTGGCCATAGTGTGGTTTGGTTTGGTAGGGTGTTTCTCAGCACAGGGTTATGCAAGGACATTCATCCGCTGTGTAAAACATATTCTGGAATAGTTGGTGGTTCATTTCGCTGTGGCAATCCCAGACGAATAAAGGCACTAAGCTGAAGGAAACTGTGGTGTATTGTTATATAACAGCTGTGGAAAACTACAGTACTCGCTCATTTGTTTATATTACTCTAGTTGTGTTACCATAGCAACTGCAGAATCACCACAACAGATTAATTACTGTAGTTGTTGTGTTACCATAGCAACTGTAGAATCACCACCACAGATTAATTACGGCAGTCGTTGTTACCATAACAACTGTAGAATCACCACCACAGATTAATTACTGTAGTTGTTGTGTTACCATAGCAACTGTTGTATCACCACCACAGATTAATTACTGCAGTTGTTGTGTTACCATAGCAACTGTTGTATCACCACCACAGATTAATTACTGTAGTTGTTGTGTTACCATAGCAACTGTTGTATCACCACCACATATTAATTACTGTAGTTGTTGTGTTACCATAGCAACTGTAGAATCACCACCACAGATTAATTACTGCAGTTGTTGTGTTACCATAGCAACTGTTGTATCACCACCACAGATTAATTACTGTAGTTGTTGTGTTACCATAGCAACTGTTGTATCACCACCACATATTAATTACTGTAGTTGTTGTGTTACCATAGCAACTGTAGAATCACCACCACATATTAATTACGGCAGTCGTTGTTACCATAGCAACTGTAGAATCACCACCACAGATTAATTACCGTAGTTGTTGTGTTACCATAGCAACTATAGAATCACCGTGACAGATGTACTCGAGTACTTCACTACAGTAGGGTTCAGAAACAGTATTTACTATAAATTACTCCAGTGTTTTTCATGTGTGCTATTACTGTAACTACAAACATTCAGCTCTACCTTCACATGTTTCTTTGTTGGCTGTCAGACTGGGTTTGTATTTTATATTGTAAACTCGTAAACTGATTGGCTGATGGTCATTCTAAGGTCAGATGAACGATGCACTCCTGATGGCTAACAGACCCACATACTGACGTTTATTTGGGACGATGTTTAGTTAATCTTCCATTAGCAGTGCCTCTCTGACATGTTTGTGTGGTCGGGGTTTACGCTGTGATTTATGAATGTCAGTCAGATGAGCTGATCATGTTTACTTCATGTTTTGTGGTGTTATTTAGGACAGCAAATGTCATGAACTGAAAGACTGATTTCAGACTTAAAGTTCAGTTTCTGTCACGCTCAACAGAGGCGGAGAACACTAATATACACAAACATGTGAGATCTGCAGAGGAAAAGGTCAGACATCATGCACATGCACCAATCCTCCATTTCCTCTTCTGTTATCGTTACTCATATTAAACGGCACTCTCGATTTAGGTCACGCTCTGAGGGTTTACTAGAGTAACGATTGGGAATTTCAGTAATGATGCAGACACTGATTAAAACAGCTTCCTGCATGACTATTTCTAAAAGCGAAAGTTGTGAATAAGATGCATCTACCAAGAAAGCAAAAGCAAAACAGATATGAAGACGTGATTTCTGAAAACAGAGCATTGTAATTAGGTTTCATGAAAACAGTTAATAAATAAGTAAACCGTCTGGATTAGTCTGTGAGTTTAATTCCACAGATATCTGCTCTCTGTCCAGAACTCAATATCTGAAGCACTGATGCTTTTAGTTTTATTTTATTTAAGCTTCTTCCTTTTTTGATTATAAAACACTGATAATATGAACACAGTAACCCCAAAACAGCAGAGCGAAAAATAACAAGACCATTACAACAAATAAAACATAATACAGTAAAATAATAATCATCATCGTCATTTTACTTCCCTTCAGCTCAGTCCCTTATTTATCAGGGGTCGCCACAGTGGAATGAACCGACAACTATTCCAGCATATGTTTTACACAGCAGATGCCCTTCCATCTACAACCCAGTACTGGGAAACACCCATACACAGCAAAAAATGCTTTTCTTACTTACATTTTTGGTTTTGTTACTCGTCCAAATATATAAAACTTCTTAAAACAAGAATTTTCTAGAAAAGCAAAACATATTGTCTTGTTTTAAAAAATAATGAAGTCAGTTTTTCCTTATATATAAGGAAATAATCTGCCAGTGGGGTGAGCAAAATAACCTTATGCCAACAGAAAAAACAAGATTATTTTGCTTGTTTTAAGGAAAACTCACTTCATTTTGGCATATTCTTTCTCAAAACAAGACATTATGTTTTGCTTGTCTATCACATGCTTCTTGTTTTAAGAATGTTTAGATATTTGGACAAAAACAAGACAAAAAAAATCTAAGTAAGAAAAGCAATAGTGTACACACTCATTCACACACACACACACTCATACACACACACACACACACACACACACACACACACACACACACACACACACACACACACACACACACACACACACTCATTCACACACACACACACTCATACACTACGGTCAGTGTAGTTGATCAGTTCCCCTATAGCGCATGTGTTTGGACTGTGGGGGAAACCGGAGCACCCGGAGGAAACCCACACCAACACGGGGAGAACATGCAAACTCCACACAGAAACACCAACTGACCCAGCCGAGACTCAAACCAGAGACATGAGTGCTGTGAGGCCACAGTAATAACCACTGAGCCACCGTGCCACCTATAATCAATCATAAAACACAAATAATAAAAGAAGGGTTTCGGGGCATTTACTAATCAAGACACTCATGAGGTTTAAGTTCCAGCATTACGAATATTTTAATTATTATTCTGCTGATATTGATAACCACGATTATTCACTGATCACGAGTGCCGTCATGTGAGATATTTCATCATAATGATTAGTCAAATTATTGGTTAAATATTCGCAAATACACATGATTAATATGTTTTTTCTTATTTATAACATTACATAAATGCATTATAAAATACAATGCAATGATTCCCCTCCTGTGCAATATTTATTCTGTATCAAATATTCCCCAAACGATCTTGAACAGATTCAGCAGTTGTTCACAGTATTTCCTCTAATATTTGTTCTTCTGGAGAAAATCTCAGTTGTTTTATTTCAGCTAGAATAAAAGCAGTTTTTAATTATATTAAACCGATTTTAAGGTCAGTATTTATAGCTCCTTTAAACTATATTAGTGTTGGATTGTCTCCAGAACAAACCACTGTTATAATGACTTGCCTAATTAAGTTGAAATATAGCAGGAGGGCTAACTCTGTATGTAAATAGCAAGAACACAGCAGCTTTAGAAACAGCAGTGATGACCAAATGATGTATATATATATATATATATATTAATCAGTATTATAAATCATAGTCTTCAGAATGGTTGAAGGCCCAGAATAATAGTTAAATGTCATTCTTTTCTGTTGAATCAGCACTTGTGGAGGCTGAAAGCAAAACATCCCTCTAATATTGTCCTTATCGAAGGCAAACCTGATCTCGCTTTTGTTTCTCCAGTGTGTGGGAAGAGTTTCAGTGCTGAACGAGAACATGTGCAGTATTATTTTACCTGCAGTACATGTCAGAACAAGAGGCTGAAACCTGTGGAGTCCTGATCCTCAACATTCCTCTCCTTCACTTCGTTTCGCCTGGAAGATCAAACACAGAGGTCAGGCTTCAGTCACAGCAACATGTTTAATTAATGAATCATTGATCAGATGATCGCCTGTACATTTCCCACTGATGATGATGATGATGATGATGCACGGTCACGGATGCTGCCAGAAAATCACCTGTGGGATTGTGGAAACCTTCAGTAACACTTTATCATCGTGACATTACACATGAATGACGGTGAATGAGATTTGATGCATGCCTACAGCTATTCACACAGTGTCATTCACTCAGCTCTGATATTTTAAATGAAACAGTCACATTGGTATGAAACCTGATATAACCAATTACATCACAACCTATCTTTGACTTTGACACGACAACTTGATGTTATCAAGACAACAAAACTTGCCATAAAGGTCATGACATAGTTAGTTATAACATAGTGACATGGTTATAGTTATAACATAGTGATGTTGTTATAGTTATAACATAGTGACGTTGTTATAGTTATAACATAGTGATGTTGTTATAGTTATAACATAGTGACGTTGTTATAGTTATAACATAGTGATGTTGTTATAGTTATAACATAGTGACGTTGTTATAGTTATAACATAGTGACGTTGTTATAGTTATAACATAGTGATGTTGTTATAGTTATAACATAGTGACGTTGTTATAGTTATAACATAGTGATGTTGTTATAGTTATAACATAGTGACGTTGTTATAATTATAACATAGTGACGTTGTTATAGTTATAACATAGTGATGTTATAGTTATAACATAGTGACATGGTTATAGTTATAATGCCCTCATGATAGTCATTTTTATGATCACATGAGGATATTATGAATATGCTGTGCATGTTATAATAGCGTCTTTCACATTTATCTTGACATTAACTACAGTGGAACAAGCTGAATTTGTGATTAGAATGTCATTAAATGTTAATAACGCTGTTTAAAATGATCTGACAGAGTAATGACACTATTAATGATGAATAAAGTGAAAACGAGATAATTCCTGACACAATTATAATGCCTCATGACGATCATGTTTATGACAGATTTATGACAAGTTCTGTAACGTTCAGTTGTCATAATAAGCAATGTCATCTACTGCATTGAATTTTACATGAAATTTATCATTTAAAATGACAAAACTGAGCAAATAACACTTAATAACAGCAGTTATAAGCATGAACAACATCTCCTTCACATTCCTGACGTCTGTTATATCATTATAAAGGTTTTAATGACAGTCTTATGAACAATCCTTTAAGAAAAGTGATACCAAACATTCATGTTTAGTACTTTAACATGATGATGAACTTGTCCTCTATGTGGACACTGAATCAGACATAAAGCCATAGCTGATAATATGGAATATAATGCTTCATTATAATCATTTATTAAGCCCAAACTCTGTCCAAACACATGCACTATAGGGCACTAACTGCACTACATCAAACTCAATTGTCTGTAGTGTTTGAGTGTGAATGAGTGTGTATGGGTGTTTCCTAGTACTGGGTTGCGGCTGAAAGGGCATCCACTGTGTAAAACATATGCTGGAATAGTTGTCGGTTCATTCCACTGTGGCGACCCCTGATTTATAAGGGACTATGCTGAAGCAAAACGAGTGGATGAGATAGAGGACGGGGGAAATGACTCCACTGTACACCCACAGAGCGGTCTTAAAGCATCGTAATCCTTCAGAATATATAATAATAATGCTGTATGAGCTCTCTCAGCAACAGTTATAACACAAACACACACTGCTGTTCTGGATAAATCCAGTGTAATTAATTTCAGCATCATTTCCAGTGAAACAGGAAGACTCCTGCTTCAAAATAACCGTTTGTATTTTTAGCTGACTTAATGAGTGACTTTAGAGTTTCTGATGTGGGAAGTTCTGCTGGAAATACAGAGCTGACATTTAGCTTCATGGACAAACATCATCAGAGGAACAAAGCAGACAGACAACAGAAGAAGAAGAGGAAGAGGAAGAAGAAGGAGAGTGTTTGTTTGCATGTGTGTTTGTGTGGAAACAGAACACGAGTAAAAACACACTCCTAAACACACACACACACACACACACACACACACACACACACACACACAAATCAAACCAAACGATGACAGAAGAGCAACACAACATCATTACATGTCATAGTGAATGAGTGTTCATCAACAGTCTGTGTGTGTTTAGTGTTTATCAGCGGTGGTGAACGGCATTATGGGATGTTGATTTCTGCTCTGTCCACTTCTGATGCTGGAAATTAAACTCTGAAGTTTAACAAAGTGACTTTAGAGATATTTTAGTGGTTTAAAATAATATTAGAGAGAATATCTGGAGGAATGAGTGTGTAGAATAGCAGTGAATGTGCTGCAGTTTAATACAAGTGTTCTGTAGCGTAATAAACAACACCAACACACACAATACAGCACTGCACACTATCACACATGAGCATAATACACACAACAGTTGCTGAAGGGAAGATCAAGATCCCATAATGACATTCAGAAGCAGAAATAAACAAGGAAAATAAAACACGAATCAAAAAATACTGAAAACTGATTTTCTGCTGCTGGTGGTGGTGTAATGGTGTGGGGAGATTTTCTTTGGGTCCATTAGTACCAATTGAGCATCAACGCCACAGCCTACCTGAGTATTGCTGCTGACCATGTCCATCCCTTTATGAGCACAGTGTCTCCATCTTCTGATGGCTACTTCCAGCAGGATAACGCAGCATGTCATAAAGCTCAATCATCTCAGACTGCTTTCTTGAACATGATGATGAGTTCACTGTACTCAAATGGCCTCCACAGTCACCAGAGCTCAATCCAATAGAGCAGCTTTGGGATGTGGTGGAACGGGAGATTGGCATCATGGATGTGCAGCCGACAAATCTGCAGCAACTGTGTGATGCTATCATGACAATATGGAGCAAAATCTCTGAGGAATATTTCCAGTAGCTTGAAGAATCTACAACATGAAGGATTCAGACAGTTCTGAAGGAGTAAGGGGTCCGACCCGGTACTAGTCAGGTGTACCTAATAAAGTGGCCGGTGAGTGTAAGTAAAATAGCTGTCTGGTCATGTTGGTCTCTGTGTTTGTCAGCTCATACAGTGAGTGAGTGACATTAGCTGTGTTGAGGTTTTAATAGTGGGTTTCCCCAGAAGATACTTTAGTAACAGAAGAGTTTAAAAAAAGATGATCTGCTGTTCCTGGATCAGCTTTAATGGAGGAGAGACAGATGGAGGTTTACAGAGACTGAAACACAGACATTACTGACCAGCACCCTGCAGACTCATGACCACATCCTACACTTATACTGATACTGGACCACAACACACACACACACCTTGTTTTTCTATCTTCATCCGGAAACTGATTCAGTATTATCCTGGACATGCCCTCAGTGGGCTGAAGCTGCATTTGGCAAACAGTGGAGCATCACAAACACTGCTAATCTGATGATGATGATGATGATGATGATGATGATGATGATGATGACACTCCCAGACCTTGTGGATTTAGGATTTTGGCCAGAGTAGATGAGAGAGAGAGAGAGAGAGAGAGCTGCTGCTCCTCTACAGAAAAACAGGCCTTTGCAGTAATTGAGCAGCGTAGAACTTCATTTAATATTAAACACACTTAAAACAAAGGAAACTCAGGTTCATTTTCAACAGTAAAAATGACTTTATGAATGATTATTTACTGATGATGAAGACATTGGAGATGATTCTTGGTTGAAAAGTTTCTTAGTATTACAATATCTGCATCTGTCATTCATTCATTCATTCATTCATTATCCTCAGGCTTAGTCCCTTCTTCATCAGGGGTCGCCACATCAGAATGACCCGCCAACTATTCCAGCATATGTTTTACACAGCGGATGCCCTTCCAGCTGCAACCCAGTACTGGGAAACACCCAGTTACATTCATTCACTCACACACACTCATACACTACGGCCAGTGTAGTTGATCAGTTCCCCTATAGCGCATGTGTTTGGACTGGGGGGGAAACCGGAGCACCCGGAGGAAACCCACACCAACACGGGGAGAACATGCAAACTCCACACAGAAACACCAACTGACCCAGCCGGGACTCAAACCAGAGACCTTCCTGCTGTGAGGCCACAGTGCGACACTGAAATATTAAAGGTTGTGATCTTCCTTTAATAGATCACATTCATACCTCTGTATACATTTCTGGAGAGTGTCAAATACGCCACAAGAATATTTCATCTAAGTGTATCCACCAGAGGGCGCTGTGTGTATGCTAATTCAGATCTCAAATTTCTCTTGCAAGTGCCATTTTACGCCTGCGGTTCTCACGTAACTCCACCAGAGGCTGCCGCTGACTGACTGATTGACTGACTAATCAACTGACCCACTCCTCCTTCCCTAAACCCAACCAATAGTGTTTTCAAAAGCACTAATTGACCCGCCCACCCATTGATTTTTCCACATCCTCACCCTGTTATTTACTTGTTTATTTTATTCGTTTGATTTCTGTTTTTGTCTTACCCGCTTTCTGGGACTGTTCTTTGCCAGACTCGATCCCCGTCATCGTGGTCAACTCCTCTCTGCGTCTCAAGTCCGCTGACGTACATGATGAGCCACTGGTCAAACTGGTAACAGTGGGAAAGCTGTCCATATGGAAGTAAGCAGTCAGCTGGCAGCACGAAAAGAAACAGCGTCATCTCAAACATTAGTGTTCATTTAAAAGACGCAATGCAGACATACGTACCTCTGATTACACAATTCACACTCTCCAGATATGTACATAGGGGGACACTTTCAGAATGAGTTCATGTCTCATATTTGCAGAAAAAAAGGGTCGACGATATTTAGAGATCCCACACATCCAGCACCTTTCCACACCTTTATTCTCTCAAATTTAAAACCGCAAGCTTTCTGGACAGCCCCAGGAGTGGTGTGAATAAGTGTTCACCCCCTTGCTGATTCATTCAGTTTTTTCCTTTCAGGACAATAATCTAAACACAACAGCAAGTGCACTTCTGAACGGCTGAAGACAAACTAAATGGAGACTTTGGAGTGGCCCAGTCAAAGTCCTGACCTGAATCCAATTGAGATGCTGAGGCATGATGACTTTAGACAGGCAGATCATGATGGAAACCCCTCCGATGGGGATGAACAACAACACACACACACACACACACACACACACACACACACACACACACACACACACACACACACTACAAACATTATGCTCACTCGTTTGCTGGTTTATTAGTTGTGTTTAATGAATATTCATTAGTCCAGTCAACATTTTCAGGTTCATTTCTAGGTCAGCATCTACAATTTCTCATGTTCAGACATGTGTTTACAGGCTTTCTCTAAAATATAAGTGCATTTTATTCGCTGGTTTCTCACATTATTATTTTAGAATTATTTGAACATTTTTATGGTAATTAGTTTAATGATGTTTACTTTATATCTGTTAAGTATTAATTAGTTTACATTTATAGTAATTATTTATGTATTTTTTAATAATTGAGGTATATTTATATTTCTTTTATGAAGGTAAACTAAATGAACGTGTTTATATAAATAGATGAATGAAAATAAATGTAGACGTTTCATTTCTGACAGTAAGTTCACTATGATGGCCCTGATCGTTGATAACAGAATAAATTAAATCACAGTAATATGCTAATGAGGGAAGTGCGCTGATTGCGGGACTCAGTTTTTTGGGTGAATGGCGGCAGTGGGGCGGGTCTTCAGACGGAGCAGCTCAGCGATTGGACGCTTGCTGTCCTGAAAGAAGTCCAATCCGGTGATCCACTCCACGTCTCTCACGCGTGATTGGTGCATCCAGAGCAGAGGCTCCACCCACTGCGACTCCGGCTGACCGTCCTGCACACATCAGCTGAACTCGTTAGTTCACTAATGAACATGTCTAACGGTATTAATCAGTCCATACTGAACCAACCCTTCACTGCTGATCTCTACACTTCATCTGAGTCTGACACAGCAGTCAACATGGCAGAATAACAGCTTACAGCTTAAAATGCTCAAATACAATTAACAATTGATCAATTAACAGAATATTTTAGTAAAGTGCATTGATTAGGTTAACAGTAGAACATGATTTACTTTATAATGTTTATTTACAACTTTACTGGCAGCAGAGAGCGATGACTGCACTCAGAAATGTGTGTGTGTGTGTGTGCGTGTGTGTGTGTGTGTGTGTGTGTGTGTGTGTGTGTGTGTGTGTGTGTGTGTGTGTGTGTGT